CGAGTCAAGGTTGCTCCTCTGATCTCGCTGTCACGCACCAACTTCAGCATCATCTCCTTCACAGTGAGGATCTTCCTTTCCACCGTGCCATGTGACCAGTGGGCGTCTCTGGCAACCAACACTTCTTCAATGCCATACCTGTCCAACAAGTCTCTGAAGTCACCTCTCAGTGAACCGTCCTGGTCGACTTGCACCTTGTCTGGGCTTCCGAAGACCTCCAACCAATCCATCATGGATTTTCTGCACTGCGAAGATTGAGGCTTCTTGGGTCTTCCAGGACCTTCACCTGAGCACAGGTATGATGCAAGGGTGTAAGAAGTGGCCATGTCAATCATGATCAAAAAGGAATGCATCACATCATCTTGATCAGGGATATGGGCAATGTCCATTGCGACACATTGGTTGAAGCTGTTGTACTTCGGAACTGCTGCTGTTGGTCTTGCAGGGCTTCTCCGTTCTTGCTCACATCTGGGACAGGAAAACAAAGATGCTGCTTTGACTGCCTGATTCGAAGCTCCTGCCAGTTTGAGGCGCCGACTAAAGTGCTCTTTGTACAAGGAGTGAGAGTACTGACGATGCACTTTAGCTATTGCACTGCGCAGCAATGTCGGCACTTCTTCCCAGCTTTGAAGCTCTTGTTCTTCTTCTTGTCGAAATATCACTTCTGAGCTTCTTTTGAGTGCGCTATGATAAACATCAGCTTCATCCAAATAATACTTCACTTCTCCACATTGTTCTTCCAACATCACTTGTCGTTGAACGCCGTCCAGGATCATAACACCCAGTTGTGGAGTCCACTGTCCCAGTAAACTTGAGATGTTTCGTCCACCCTTCTGTCCTCGGCCTTGCACATGAGCATGATCATGGCTTTCATCACATCGTAGGCTCAAGGTCGAAGCGAGTACCGGGGATGATGTCACAAATCTGGTTGGCTTCAGTACATAGTCATCATTGACATCCTTCAAATCACTCATGCACTGATCCATTCGTGATGTGTAATGTGGAATATGTTCAACGCTTTCCAAGATGTACTTCCAGGCTTGACTCGCCAGCGGGTTTTCCAGCAAATAATGACGTCCACCTGCAATCTGAAGTTCACACACCTCTTTCACAAACTCTAAGTGATCCAAGGCGATTTCTTGTTGCAGCTTACGGACATCTTCATCCAGAAAATTGCTGAGAGGAGTCCACGGGTCACAGTTGAAACCCATGGTCACCAACCGTGGTTTCTCAATGCGAATCTCCTCAAGTACAGCCTGTCTGTCTTCTTTCTTGAGAAAGTTGTCACCCAAAAGAAGATATCGAGGTTTGCCAAATGACATGTCATTGTCCTTGGCGAGGGCTGTGACAACTCCACCATCAGCACCACTGTAAAGTTCTTTCACCAACACCCTTTTCACATGCGACTTTGCACCTTTCCTCAATTCTTTCCATAGTGCTCGACCATGTGCTTTCGCTTCTTCGGCCATCTTTTGCACTTTCTTTCTCAACTTGCTCTTCATGATGCGTGTTGTCTCCACATTGAAGTCCTTCGCCTTCAATTGATGGAAAACTTCAACTGTCTCACCAGCAAGTCGGGTCTCCTTCTTCTTGTTCTTTGAATGCCCAATGTCCAGAAGCAAATGACCTCCTGAACCATAGTCCATCATGACTTTCTCCGATCCAATCGCCGTGAATTGAATCGTGGGCTTTGGCGTTGCTGTGAAATCAATCACTGCACCAAGTTCTCGCAATTGGGGAAGTCCCAGCAACAATGGCACATCTGAATTAGGAAGGTTGATGTTCCACGACCACCGGTGCGTCAGCATTGACACCTTTCAACACCTTGCTGGATTGCTGGAAAGATGTTTCACTTCCAAATTTTCCGATGAACTTGTCCAAGGTCCGGTCACCACCACAACCAATCAAGGCTGCTGTGTCCACAACACACATTCCAGCGGGGACCGTCTCGCGACTTGCATTGGCCATGAAGGTCAGGCTGTGGGGAATGGATGATGTCTCAACGTTCTGAGTCATGAATGCATCCACACTCAACCAAAGCACTTCTGTTGTCTCCTGCTCATAGTCCATCATGAAGGTGGGCATCTCAAATGCCTGAGGCTCGCACTCATCCTCCATCATCCTCAAACACGTCAAGGCATCCTGACATGATGACAGCAGTTGGCCTGATGCTGAGGCCAGCATGGCAGCAGCCATACCTGCACGTTGGAGAAATCCTCCTTTGCGACCTCCTTTCTTTCCCTTCTTGCCACCTTTTGAACTTCCGGCCGATGAACTTGAACCTTTTGGACACGTCTTATCCCCACGCCAATGTCCTTTCTGACCACAATCATAGCATTGCGTCCTTGCTTTGTAGTTGACCAGCGTTGAGGGTCAGCTTCCCATCCAGAGCAATGGCTGTCCGATTGTGTCCAATGGCATTGGGTTGAAATCCTCGATTTGTCTTGCCATCACGGACTGCTTGTCGTTTTCGAGCATATTCGGAAGCTCCTTTGCCCATCTTCTGAATGGTTGTTGCAAAGACATCAAGCTCATCAAATGAAAGATCATCCACCGTCATGACCTCGATGGCATGCTCCATCTCCTCGATGTCATACTGAAGCTCTTCCTCAATCTCATAAACTGGGATGTCATCTTCCACCAGTTCATCTTGCCAGTCATCAACTGCATAGATCTCTTCATTCTCTCCATCATAGCTCGACCATTCCTCCTCAATTGGGAATGCCCATGAGCGCTTACCACCTGGATTGTAATTGCTCTGCTGTCGTTGCTTGTATCCACCCTTCCAGCCTTTGCCTTGTGGCTCTTCACCTCCATCCAACTGAATGAGCATCGCTTCAACAATCTTGTCCCAATCATACTCATTTCCAGCTTGTCCAGGGATGGCCCGATGTTGTGAAGGGCTAACTCCTGCATTGCGAAGCAAGAAAAAGGCTTGGAGATCTGTCGACAGCTTGGTGTGGCCCTGAGTCAATGCCGAGAGCTTTTCATACTCACCTTGTCTCCGGCTAATGTAGTCTTGAATGCTTTCACCCAGCTTTCGGCGTCCTTTGTCGAAGAAGTAGTCCTCGAAGGTCTGGGTCTTCAGGAGCGGCGCCACCTTCTCACATGCTGACCTAACCGTCTTCACCACTAGTTGAACTGCAGCTTTAGGTCCAGCATTCGTTGAAGGTTCAGCTTCACTGATCTGCAAAAGCTTTTGAGCAGCGATCTCCGGCTTCCTGTGGCACAATGTCCATGCTCTGCCGTGCAAGGCGTTCTTCAACTTTGCCGCATAGCTTGCCTTTTCTTCCTTCTGCACCGTTTGAAATCCCAGCCAAACACGTTCTTCATATTCTTCTGCCAGCTTGGGGCTTCCATCATAGTGCACCACATTGCTCTTCGGGTCCACATACAATGAACTGCTCTGTTGCGACTGCATGTCAACAAAATGTCAACACAATGTCCACAAATCCGTGCAAAATTTCGTGAAACTGCGGTTGTCCAATCAAAATTTGCAAAATTGAATTCCGGCAACTGCTTCAGAGTTGAAGTTACCACCAACTCGAGAAAACAAGTTCCGGTAGGATAGAAACTCCAATCTTCCTCAGCCTGCCACCAACCAATGTCCAGCACGCTACGACCAAACAAAAGGTTCTGCTCCAGCGGGGTCACAGACCAGAAATCCCAATCTATGGCGCGCCAACTGAGGCTCTCGCTACCAGTGTCAAGTGCGCTAAGTGCCCACGCACACGGTTTTGCAACCGCGCGCACGAGGGGCTCAAGGCCTCCGGGATTTGAGCCGTAAGGGCCCATGGAATGTACCGGTTTGGTACACCTGCATGGTGTGAAAACGAGACATGGGTTGTCATGAGTCATCCTCTTCACAATATGTATATATATATACATATACCTTGAGTGTATATATATTTTTACACACACTAGGTTTTTGAGCACCACGTTTGCTTCAATCTGCAGGGTCCACACATGCCCAATCCACAAACGGTCCTCGTTGAGCTGCATGTCGTAGTCGGACAGCTCGAAAGACACTGAACTGGAATGCATCAGATGACAGCACTCTCAGCAGTTGCAAATTGCAAATGAAAGTATCACTTATCACAAAAATTGGCAGGTCTTTGAACACGTCCGGTACACCAACAAATGTTATTAATCTAGTATTCCTCCTCTAAGTTTATGATCTGAATCATTGCAACTGCTGGGCTGATTCTGTCTGCACGCAAGTGCATTCCGCCAAGCCAATGCTGGATGCTCCGGCAACTGGAAAAATGTGTAATGTTGTTCAACTGTTGCTTCGTGGAGTCCAGCAAAGTAGTTTAGCAGTTTTCTGCTGGCAGCATCGCAGCAGTTGGCGTGGAGTTGCATTGCGCAGGCATCAGCCTTCAGTTCAGCATCAGCAAAGCACCACGCTTGAATCTCGCAGTGGCATCTGTAGTGCTATTCCACTATGCCTGCCGCGATGGCTTGCAAGTGAAGCCAAAGTCAGCGTCAGCTGGCGACTGTACACATCAAGCTACGTTCAAAGCAAACTGTATCAGTTGTTTGGAGGAAACCGATTGGGTCCATGTTCGGTGAATTGCCATTGTCCACTTTGTCGGCCAACGACGCAAACCTGTCACATTCAGGATTTGAGCTGAGTCCTGCCTTGTCCGGCAAGCCAACGCACCGAATTCCAAGTCAAATGAACTCAAGTGCACGAGTGATGTCACAAGTGCTGCTTTGCAGGGCTGGACCACCCTGGAGACTTATATAAATCATTCTTGTTCTTGAGGATTCACGGGCCAACACAAAAATCCCAAAGTATCTTGTATCTGTGTTAACAATCTTGACGCCTCGCGTTTCTGTACTTACAGAATGCATTCCACTCCCAGGTTGATGGGAGTAAATGCCTGAAATGAATATCTCCGCCCAGCACTTCAATGACTTGTTTCAGGAATACACACACGGCAATGCACAGTATCAAAGAAGTATGGAACTTCTGGTGACACAACAGTTTGCAATTTGCAACCACTTAAATTGGGGCGGATCTATTTGCAAGATACCCAGGGTCGACGAAGCTTTCAACAAGCTGCCCTGGCCCTGGCATTTTGCGAACGATGGGAACTTGGTCCCAAAACCTGGGGACAGTGAGAACATTACCTGTTCGGCTCAAGTGGGCCATTTGGCCGCAACAAGGTCCAACATACCCATGATCATCCCACATTGGTCCCTTGCACAAAAGCACAAACATACAAATCAAACGCACGTTGCATCAGTCATTTCAGAATATAAAACGGAAAGGGTAGATCGATTTGGCATCGCTCAATGCGTTTGAACAAAATGTAGTTGCCTAAATTGCACTCGATGTTTTTGGTGGCAAGACCTCACAAGAGCCTGTAACCTGGACTCGAAGAGCCGACTCCGGCATCAAGCCGACCAGCAACATGTTCACTGGCTGGAGGATTCCTCGCGGAATCAGCAAAATTTCAACGTTGTGGTCATTCCTGGTTCAAAAAAATTACATGAAACACGCTTGAATGGAACACACCTACGCTGTGAAGTTGTAACGTTTCACATGACACATCTATCACACATGTCTTAGAAAACTGCTGCTGACGCTTGCAACAAAAGCATTGATGTTGACGCTGGCTCTGGTACAAAGTTGAGGCAAGGTCGTAGTCGTGGGATCCCAATCGGAGCATCGCGATGTACGACTCAGGATGAGGGTCCTAGGAAGCCAACAGAATCTGTTTGACAAAAATGCTGTCCTTTTAATTATATACAGAAATATGTCAGTGCCTCCTGGATGCTTTGGAACCCTCACCACCGTCAAGACCGTCGAGGGTATTTCAGAGATTTTCAGAGCGGGGCCTGTGGCTGCCCTGGATGGAAGTGCAGGAACAGCTCACCCAATCCGGCACTTGCAAAAGGCTGCGTTTTGAAGCTTAGGAACGCTTTTGGTTGGTAAAACACATGACCCACATGCCATTCGGAGCTATTGCGCAACGCTTCCACGCTCACGTTTCTTCACATTTTCTGACCCCCTTAGCTCCAGAGGCACGCTGGTTGGCTGACCGCTTTTGCGTGACGTGCAGTTCGTAGTTGCGTGGCTTGCTGTCGCCACACAGGGGCTAACAGCACTTCCTTGGTTGAACTTCTCATCGCCGATTTTCACTTGTCTCCCACAGCTCTTCCGTAAAAGTGGAAACGAATGTTTCTCTCAAATCGCCCCCGGACTTCGTGATGCGCAACAGACGTTGGACCACCAAATGCGAACCTGGTGCATTTCATGGCACCGTGGGCTGCTAAACAGCCTCTGTAGGGTCCAGGGCGTTCTCAAACCATCGGTGGGCCTTCCTTTGGACTCCTCTTCTTCAAGGTCTACCTCCTCCATCTTCTCTGGTGGATCTGGTCGCCTTCTCACTGGGCCATACTCAACTCCAGCTGCAGCCCTTGCGGCGTGTGGTGCTGCATGGCGAGATGGTGGCAGGAATTGATCCACCTGATCGCGCGCTGAAGTCGTGGGTTCTGACTCAACCGCATGGTGACTGCTCTCTGTCACTTCGCAAGTAGCTTCTGCTGGCGGCTGCAGCTAGCTCTGGCGCTGCGTCGGGCGCCAAATGAACTTCCATATCAGTTGGACCAGCTGGCGGCGCTGGTGCGGCTGAGGCTTTTGCATGGTCACAGACCTAGGAGCGGGTGGATGGCTGTCCTGCACAATTGGACGTGAAGGTTCCTTCATGCGTCGTTCCATCTCATCGCTCGAGGGCTGATGGGAATACGCAGTCATTGATGCAGGTCTGACTGCCTTTTCCTACCCCTCCAACATGCAGTGGATTGTCACGAAGCGAACGGAAGAATCTCCTTACCAGCTCGGCGGAGGAATGGGATGGCCTGCTTCAACCATTCTGAACCTACCAGGTTTCCGTATAAGCCAAGATCAACGAGGAGACCGCAGCCTTCTGTCAGGGCTGCTGCATGAAAGCTCTCTTCTCTGCGCACTGGCTGTGGCACCAAGCATACGACAGTGCTCCTGCACCTTGCTCGGAAGTTTGAAATTATCCTGGGTGTTTCCAGCTCATCACCGTGCTCACTTGGCACTGGCGCGGTCACAGCGGCTGCTAATCTCGCGGCAGTCTCCTCATCCTCTGTAGGGAGGTCCAGTGGCGCACATGATAGTGATGGTGTCGCTGGAGGTTCCGTTGGTGCTTCAGATCTTGCGGTTGGGATAGCATAGACCCATGCGCTTACAACTACTGCATCCGAGCGGCAGTTGGGACGCTGTATTGCATTGCCTTCGGATTCAGCGCGCTGCATCATCTCACTGAAGCACAGGCTGCGGAGCATGTGTCCACACTCAAACCTCAAGATCTCTTCACCTTGGTTGAAGGTCTGCTGGCATATGGTGCACTGGTTGCTGAACGGACGAACTTCATCCCAAGGTCGTGTCTGCGGCCGTGACCTCTCAGCTTGAGCGGACCTTGCTGCATCGACTTCGGCGAAGAAGGATACCACTTCTGACGCTGTAGCTCTTGCGACTTGCTCAAGTTTGCGGCGCTTGAGGTGTTGATGTTCCAACAGGCTGTTGGAACCACACTGGCGGCTGCTTCGAACTGCTTGATGGTTCATTGGCGCTGCTTGATGCACTCTGCTGCATTGCTGCGGCGCGAACGGCCTCTTGGATGGCGCTCACTTGTGGAATCACCGGCAGTTGAACTTCCTCACGCTGAACCGCTGGTTTGTTCTGATCATATGGCATGAACCACAAGTTGGCGGTAAGCGCTGCGCGTTAAACTGCTGCGGCTGATTGTACTGCATTTGCTTGCCACCTATGCGCCACTGCATCCATGGATCACCGACTTGCATTGGCTGTGGTTGCCATGCTGCGTCTTGCGACCACCTCTTGATATCCCTGAGCCCCTGGATCTTGGCCATTGATCTCTGTTGGTCTGGTGTCAACTGATGGCCCTGACCGAAATCTGGCGTGGCTTGCTCAGCAGCTTGTGTGGGGCCTTGGTGTCTCAGGGCCAGTGACATTGGTCCAACTTGCGCTGGTCACATCACCTGACTGCAGTGGAGGTGCATTTGGTTCAACATTGGACCAACTAGCATTGTCGGCTTCACTTGGCGGGCCACTAGCGGCGGAAGCCTGCTCGAAGGTTGCGAAGTGCACTGAATTCTCTCTTGCGTGAACAGGTGTCTACTCGGACCTTGAACGCGTCGGGCACGAAGGTGGTACATTGAACCGCAGATTGAGCAGCGCGTGATCTGGCCCTGCTTATCTTTGCGGTTGATCCTCCGGGGTTTGCCTTTGCCTTTGCCCTTGAAGTAATACTGTAGAATTTCGGGGGTGTTCAGGTAAGAGTTACGCTGCTTTGACTTGTTCTTACCTCTGCCTTTCCTTTTCCTACTGAGCACTCTGCGAAGAGTGCGAACAGGCTTGCCTGAGAAGCGTCTCCATCTCTTCTTGGCGCGCTGGTACTCGCCAAAGAGGTGCTGATCGGCTTCATCTTCTGCCAAGTGGAGGCCACCTGAGTCGGACGACGTGGCCGAATCGGTGTCACTGTTGTTACCCTCGGTGAGGGGGTATTATGCCCCATGCATTGGTCAAATCTTGGGCGTTCCATGAACCTGGTGCATGGTTCCAACTTGTATCTTGACCTGATGTTCCAAACTGCTCAGCATCATTGACATGGAAATGCTGGGCTTGACCTTGGCCTTGTCGGAGTGAGTGTACTCGCAATGTTCAGCGGTCGGCGTTCCACGATGTGACCTAAGCGACGGGCGTGGGCACACAACCTATAGTGCGACCTCATTGTCCGAATTTGGCAGTCGGTAGCCAAATGGCTGTGTCAAGGCTTGGAACTGCTCCGGGTTGCAGTTGCATGCTCGAAGCAGGAGGAGAGCTGCGGCTTCAGTGGACACCATTGCTCCACCTCCTGCCTGTCTTGCTCGACTGCGAACAATCTCGAACCTGGGTCCATCGATCGACTCACGCGGCCTACGGTGGAGAAAGGAGCTCTTGGGAAGCTCGGAGGCGAGTCTTATCATCAAGTGGCGCAAACCGTGATGCCAATCCTTGGCGGATATGTGAGACTGGACCCACCGGTACAGTTCCTGCGGCCGCAGGAACTGTGCACTACCATGGCGGCTTGCTGATGCGGTTGAAGCTCATTCAAGATGGTCCACAACAAATCCTGGCTCCAGGCCGTGAAGGACTGGGCGTGGCGGTGCCACCTTTCCAGGATACATGAGCAGGATTATACACACGATTGTCACTGGAATACTGCATGGACGAACCAAGCATTCGTGCGCACTGCATGGGTTGGTGCAACACTAACCCGTTTGGATGCTATTGCAGGCTCTTGCATGGATCTTGCCATGGCCTGTGTCACCTCAGCGCCGGACATGGACGGCGGTTCCGACACTGTTGCACGTCTTTGCCAACCTCAGGACCTGCGAACGCTTGTGCCTCATGTGCGAACAACTGCATTGCAAACACAACACGGCTATGGCCAACGCTTGCAATCTTGAAGCTCACACAAACTCGGCGGCTGTGGCGGCCAACTGTCACGCGCATCCTCGGCGCAGCCTTGCTGGAGAAGGCATGGATGGCAATGATCCTGATGGCAACAGCAAACAGCCATTGAAGCCCTGGGCACATGATGCAATCGTTGTGAAGTTGAAGCGGTCGAGCCACGGCGGCGGCCCTCATCAAAGCTATCGAACTGCTTGCACTGTTGGCCTGAGCGGCAATCATGTGGTCACGGCGAAAGGCATTTCTAATGGTTGTTGTAGTGGATGTGGCATTGGTAGTTCTTGTGGCATCGGTGGATGTGGTATTAAAGGTTTTGGTAATCGGCGCGCAAAGCCAGGGACAAAACCCGTCATCACTGACCGGCGTCAGGATGGTTGGCGTGGCGGCGCACGGAGGACAAAGACTAACCGAGCGCGAAAGTGACAAAGGACAAGGACAGACCGAATCGTCTGCGGGGGCATCGCCTGGACACGATGCGCTAGCCGGGCCGTGTGGCGAAAACGGGACAGAAAGACAGGGACACGGACCAAAACGATCGGCATGGCCTACCGAAGGGTGGTGTGGGGAGCCACCGGCATGCGAAAGGTGACGGGAGTCACCGGCAACGAAAGCATGGCCAAGTGGGCCATCACTAGCGCGAAGCGTGGTGCACAAGACCACGGCGGCGAAAGGCAGTAGTAGCTTCATCGCCCCGAACCAACACAGGGGCTCCGCTACCAACTCGAAACAAAGGTAGGATCCTAGAGTGCATGTGTGTGGGAAACCAGGCTCTATGCGCACCTTTTTGGGCTGCTGTGTTGTGTCACGACAAGTACCTGGGTCAACCCGACTTGAGCCAGACTCCGGTAGGTCAGGCACATACCGAGTATTAGGCCAACAAAAGCCATCAAGACCGGTCAAAAGTCAAGCTGTTGAAAACAAACCAGGACAAGCCAAAAGCCACCTAGGCCCAGTGTAGAGATGATGAACTTGCATCATTCGCATTTCCAACATCCAAATCCTTTAACACTTCGAGCGGATGAGACTATCAGGGGCACCGACAACTCCCTAATTCGCTGTAATTAAACGGCAATAGAGAAAGGGCATGAACCCAGAAAAACAATTCATACGTTCCGCTTGAACTACGGCATGGTGTGACACTGCAGGAATTCAACCACTTCTCAAGAGCAACAGCGCACCATCACCAACATATATATATATATACATACAGTATATGAAATGAACACACTAGGTTGTCCAACAAAGCTCTTCTTTTTAGGCTCGTATCGCCGGCCTTTCGCTGACTGCAATTTCTCTTTCGCGAAATGTGTTTTTACATATTTCATCTAAATTCCTCTACTGGCAATATCGGACGGCCCTCTGACATGTTACACAAGTACATGAAGCTTGGATATGCTTAAAACAGTTAAGAGCAATTCGGAATAATTTGCGAGTACACAGCAGCTGAGAGCTTAGCAGACGTTGAAAGGAGAACACCAAGCGCATCTTGATCCAACCTAAGCTGCACATGGTCCCAGAGGGCAGCTGGCTAAGTCTGTGTAGCCGCACGGATGGCAGCGCAAAGATTGGACATACTCCTCCGTCGGATGATGTGACCTGGAAGTATGCACAGGCAACGAATTCCAAAGCTAAACTGGTTTGAGTGAGGACTTCCACATTTGAACCCCACGATCTGCTTCACATTACTCTTCAAACTTTGCTTAAGGTATCTCAGAAAAGCACTGCCCCACGGCCATCGTTCCTCTGCTTAAACCTTGTGCGTCCGCGGACGTCATTCAAGAGTGTGTTTTTCAAGTGTGGCTGCTCTGAGCTGATTCAATTCACATAAGCACACACCAGGCTGTGAAAGGGGGTCTTATCTTACCCAGTGCCAGAATAGGGTCAGCATGCTGCACTCACCTCGCATAAGTCTGTGGCCACACAAACTAACAAAGAGGAATCAGAAAAGCTGTACCCCAAACAATGAGAGTGTCTTGTTTGTCATAGAAACTCTCATAGTGAAGGTATTGATAGGAGCATGCTGCAAACAATCAAATTGCGGACCATGATTACCAGGCCAGAAGAGAACAAAATTGCAAGAAATGTTGAAGAAAGCACACCCTGAAGAGATTGGACAAAGAGTAGTTTTGCAGCTCCTTCATCAACCATAAGGCGATCAGGTCACTACTGGGGCCTAGGGTGTGGAAACCACCGCTGTTCGAAGCACCAAAAGTGATGTGGTCCCATGCTTTCGATTGATACTAGTAGCTACTAGTAGTAAGAATGCTACTAGTAGTGATGCCAGAAGCCCCTAGCAGCGTCCTTGCTCCTAGTAGTAAGGCCAGGAGCTACTAGTAGCTTCTTGTTCCTAGTAGTAAAACTGGCTATTGCCACAACTCGAACCAAAGCTGAAGGACTGGTTTAGTGTATTCTCAAGGTACACAAGTAGTTACAGTACTCAAATGCATAGGCAAGCAAAACCATGCTCCCAAGCACAAAGGAGTCGAAAGCAGCGCCTGCCACTTGGGAAGCCTGCGACCGCATGCTGCGGCCACAAACCTTCCAAAACAAGGGGTGTGAGCCGCAAGCACCAGCTCCAAATCTTTGAGAAGTAACAAATACGCAATGCTGAGCAATAGGAGGAAAGGCTGAAATGTGACTTCAAGCAACAAGAGCTTTTGCATTTCAGATTGAGAGCTTCTGCCTCTGCAAAGTGCCGGCGTGCGACAAGGCTCCCCCTACCGCAAAGAATTCTGGGCCAAGCGGAAAATCACAACATTTAGTTTGGTCGTGAGTCCTTCGATTTGTGTTACCACAGGCATCAGCGCTTTCCAATCCATGTGACTACATGAACAGCGCAAGCCAAGGACTGGACTTGAAATCAATATGCCCCAAATGGTAATGAGGATGCGCCTGCACACCAATCACACAAATACAGGTGTAGCGTTTACGAACAGCCTAAACACCGGGCCCGCTGGATCACCACCCGGACCCCCACCCTGACGAAAATGCCGGTCTTAGAGCCGCATGTCTAAAGTCTAAGCTCAAAGCTGCAGAGCAAATACGGAGAAGACTCTCATTTGTTGCAGCGGTTGCAACCTGCAAAGCAATCAATACATATCAAATCAGAAAGCAAACATCGAAACATACAAAAATACTGCATGAAAAATACTGTTTGGCAAATGACAACTTCATTGGGGTGTCACCATGTGGACAAGTATCGCGTCAAGGGATTCATCGACTCCACATGATAGTGTCGCTAGCGATTGAGTTCCTCCACGCAAGCAAAACCATCAGCTGACTTGCTCCCCAAATGAGAGGGGCTGGCTCAAAAGCCGGTGTCACTCTTACTTGTTGGACCAACCTCCTGTGTTCCTTCGTGTCTTTATCCTCTTCTTCCTCCTCTTCTTCTTCTTGTTCTTCCTTCGGACTGCAACAGCACCGACCCGTGGTTGATCGCCCACACTCTCTTGCAAAAGAGCAGGTGTCCTTGCGTTCTGAACACTGCGGTTCAAATATCGACTGTTCTTTGGCAAGTGATTGCGCCGAACTCCAACCTTATCCTCCCAATTGGTTTTGTTGCGTCGAAAATTAGTGACATTAAGCCAAGCATGTGTCACTCCTTTTGCAAGCATCAGCAAGAGTACGTTTGGGTTGAGTTCCGAGACTACAGCGATCCCAGCGAACTCGGCGCGTCTGGATATTGTTGTTGGTCATTGGCTATATGGGCAACACATTCGCATGTTGGTTTCCACATCATGACCTTTTCTGGCAATAAAGCCACGTTGTCCAGCCTGAATGTGTTTTACTCTATTTATGTGCCCAAGGTTAAACTACATGTCACGCAGTGATACGTGAACCAGGTTCTAGTTCTTAGTAGCCGATGTGCGGAGGCAACTGCGTTTGTTGCCGCGTGATTTATATAAACCATCTTCACAAACAAAGCTGAGCAAACTGCCAAACCCCCACTGGTCAAATACATGGCACGACGGTAGTTCCTTGGCGGAGCCACTGGCGTGTTTGTGCAAAATGATCTTACACGAGAAATCACATCATCATATGTATCTGAGGCTCACACGTTGCACTGTGTGTATTTGGAAGGGGGTATCTAGTTCCAATTCCATCATCACTGCTCGCCTGCACAGCTGGTGACTGCGAAGTCTTAGGTTTTGTGTTTGGGGGTCCAGTCTAAGGAGTCTAAGGTTTTTGCCAAGGTAAATTGTTGCAAATAAGAATCCTCAGCCAGCACAAACATGCGGCAGCATACACGAACCCACATGCAGAATCGGGTGGCACCGCTGAGGCCAGAACAACCCCTGAGCATAAAATATGCCTGTCGTCCTCTCCAACATGCAACTTTCTCTTGCCAGGCATTTCGTTGCAAGAAATTGCAACTGAACAAAAATGTTTCCGCGCTTGGCATTGTCTCATACTCTTCTTTGTCGCGCTGCCCGTAATACATTTCTCTTTTGAAAAGGGTCACCATCATACTCTGTGTGGGAAATGCGGTTGTGAATTGCTACATTCGATCTAAGCACCCATTGTTGTCTAGGTCGACCTACACGTCGTTTACCAATGTGGATTGGTTCAGCACTATCTGGTTGATATGCGACTTGTCTGAGAGGGTTGGAGTTTCCCGCGCGTAGAATGCGCGCTGCCAATTTTGTTTGTTTTTCATCCAATTCTTGTGAAAAAGGTTTCAATTGTCTGTGCGGTTGATCTGGGAACGCTGTTTGCGAAGCGAGTTCATATACCCTCGAATTTGTATTGCGCCTACGATCGCCTACGTGCTTACGTGCTTGGTAAATATTGAATTCGCCATAATCCCCGTAAATAACGGAATGCATCCACCTTTTTGCGTAAAGACTGAGTTTCGATGCTGTGCAATAAATTGTTCCTGACTACAACGTCATAAATCAGGAGCTGCCATTTCTTGTGGTGGGGTCCTTCCAAAACAGGGATAATCTATTCCATGCATGCTTTGTCCTGAATTCTTTGTGAAATTGTTCTACTGAGGTCTACAGTGTAGTTCAAAGTATGTCCTAAGTAAGTAGCCCCCTGGGCAATGTTCAGAGGGGTGTAATCCTCAAAGTGTATGTTAGCAGCACAGTTCATGGTGATGGCGTGGCACTTGGCTCTATTGATGCACAAACCACAATGTTCTGAGCAGTCGTCCATATGCTTGAAAAATTTACTAAGACCTCGTGGTGTCGAACTCAACGCCAGGAATTTGTGAACCAAAAAATATGTCGAGAACATCCGGGTCTTACATCATCGTCAACACAAGTCATCATTAACATAAACAACTAAATAAATAGATAAATAAATAAATACATAAAGAAAGAAAAAATACAGACATACATACATACATACATACAGACGTACATACATACATACATACATACATACACACATACATAAACAAATAGTTAAATAAGTAAAAAGAAGCTTAAAGGGCACCCCTTACGGATTCCAGTTTTGTGCGTCTTGAGTTTGGATGTGCCATACTCATTTGGAATAAAGAAACTTGGTGCTAGATACAGAGCATTGACAATCTGTACAAAGCGCGTAGATATCCCAAGCCTGGTATATGAGTCAAACAGCTTACAATGATGCACACTGTCAAAGGCCGTATCCCAATCAATAAGAGCCATATACAGTTCTGCCCCCTTCTGCTCTGACCAGTCTTGCAGTCTACGTATGCGTGGGCTGTTGACCGGTTTGGTCGGAAGCCGTATCGCGTCACCGTTAGTTTGTGGTCCACAGCTTGCTGTATTCGATCCCTTATTAATGATACAAAAAGCATTGTAAGTAGAATTTAGTTTAACAACGAAATTGGACGGTAGTTTGCTGGGTCATACATATTACCGTTCTTGTAAAGTGGTACCACTCTAGGTGTCAAGGGGTCGGAAGGTATGCTGCCGCTGGTCTACCAATCATCAGACCACCAAGCGATGCCTATTTACTACATGAAGCCAATTGTACAATTCCATGACTATTTGGTCGGGGCCTGGTTGCTTTCGTAGCTTTGTTTTTTAACACTTCATGTAGCTCCTGATTAGTGAAAATTGAGTTATTGCACGAAATTGTTCCCCCAATCTTGTTTTGTGAAGGGAGTGGGCCCCGCCCATGATCGTTGGACTAATGCTTCCCTTCCAACTAAGGCGAGATAATTTCAGTACGCTGCTTCAGCGGGACTAGTCTACCATGTCGCGAATTGCGCGTGCTGATATAGGTGATATAAGCAGGATTGCAATGGTTTTTGACTCGCTCGGGTCTTGCTGAAACTGGTTCGCTATGCGCTGCTTCCTGTCTGCTCTTTCGTGACTCCCTGTCGAGTAAAGGGCCTGCCTTTGGTGGATAACCTCCCACGCGTTCCTAGACATGTAATCTTGGATAGTCTGGCGGCACTCTTTTGGCAAACATTGATCTGCAGCTCTGCAAATAGCTTGGTTGGAATTCTTCCATGATTGATCTGTGTTTGACGTTGGTGTGAACACAGCTGACACAGACTCATTAAATCGTCGCCACTGGCTTTGGCTAGGTTTCAAGTATTTGAGAATAAAGCTACGGTTCCGCAATGCGGCGGCAAGACAAAACTACATTACGACAAAATGGTCCGTGTTCAAACATAAATCAGTACGGGTTTGTACATCGGCGCAACGGCGGCGATGCTTCTGCCTTGTTAAGAAAAAGTCCAAACGCGCATACTTTTCAGCGGTATAATCAGCACCCCCGGTTGGAGTGGTGTTTCCCCGGAGCATTGCTTGTTTTGATGAAGGTTTCTGAAAATCGGTAAGCAAAACACGTGGCGAATTGGCGGTGCAAATAGGTCCCGGTTCTCCCTGGTCGCCTGCGCCACTCCTGCCAAGTACCTCTTCCGAAAATAAAGTCCCAAACCTTCAAGTTCATTGTCATATTCTGTGTCGCAGTCTAGCGTGAAAATCACCCCTCGGCCTCGGCGCATTCCGTCAAAAGCTTTTCTACGGATTCTACGGATTCATAAAAGGCCTCTTTCAAGTCGGTCCCATGTCCGCTGTGTGGCGCATAAAGCAGCATTAAAAAATTCACGTTGGCTCCCCGCGATCTTGACCTCAACGCCATCACTTGTCCACTCAGATGTTTATTTCGTATAAGTATGGTCTGAACCTGGCGCGCATAATTACACCCGCGCATTCTCTATACGATTTCCACGGCTGAGTACCACTGCTAAAGCAAGAGCTGTATACATCGTGGGCTTCAACACTGGATGAAATCACCTGGGCCTCAGTTAGAAGAAGAATACCCAACCCCTCATCTTTCATGACCTTGGTTATGACCTGTCGCTTGGTTACGCCGCTCTCCCCATTTAGCCCTCTGATGTTAAGAGCGCAAGTTTTAAGTGGCATGCTGCAAGTCAATTTATGTCCTCTATTCTTGTGCAATTCTTGACTGGGGTCGAATTGTTGAAATACTCACAGCGATTTAGATTCTTCTCGGCTTGCCAAGCTTCCTGAGCGTTTCGGGGCTTTTTCTGCTTCCCACGCACTCGCTTAAAATATTTCCACAATCTGCGTCTAACTGCGCGTGTCTGATTCCCTTTCTTGGGTTTTCCCTTTATATAAATCTGGGCGGGAAGCTTTGGGTGTATTTCCACTCTTTGCAGAAGAAGCTCTGCAAAGGTCCCGCCACACCACTTGACGGCATGAATCAATATTTCTAGCCATCGGTTTGTTTCTATTATTGGCCCTTTGGTTTCTGGTTTGTACCGGAGGTATCTTCAAAGCTGATACGACCAGTTCCTCTTTGCCTAAATCCTTCTCACCGGTTTCCTTATCACCTACTTCCTTCGTCTCTAACTCCTTCTTTTTTTGATTGCTTGTCACTTGTCATTCATCCGGTCATTGATTTCGTCTGCTCACCGTCTCTCATGGTGTAGTACTCTTCGTTTCCGCTAAGCGCCGTGAACTTGAGCCCGCAGGCGTACTTGCTGTAAGCGGGGTATGTGGTTTTGCCGTTGGCTTCCGACCATCCTTGTGACCAGTTGTCGTTGATGATGTCAAAATAGTCTCGGCGAATGTGGAGGTACATGTACTTTAAAAGACTGTGTTGTCTGCGACTCGGACTGCCAGCTTGTCCTGCCATTTCACTGCCACCTTATTCCAGGAGTTTGCGAGCTCGCCGCTGGGGTTCGTTGTCGCGATGCGCAAGGCGGCCTCGATGGTCACGCCCCTCTCCATGTCGCCGGTTTGTCACGCGAAGGTAATTCGATGTGGTCGGTTTCCATAGTGCACTGGGTGTTTCGCCCACTCGTCTGTCCAGTGTATGATGGTGATGGGTAGGTTTGCGTCGCCCACACACGTATCGTCCATGTGTGGTCGTGAACTGGCTTGCCACTCCAGCTTTTGAGTGTACCAACTGATGACTCCATCTCGTTCTGCCTCGCTAAACTCTTTCGGCCAGCCTCAGGTAACTGTCTGTTTTGCTGCTTCTTTCTTCTGTTGCGCGAACCGTGTTTCGCGCAGTCAGGATGTCTGCATCTTCTATGTTGCGTCGGAGGTGTGGTTTGCTTTTCCAGCTCCTGTACACTTTGCTGGTCATCATTTGTTGCTGCATCTCTTGTACATATGGTGCTGGGTTGGCCATGGACTGCTTCATTGTGTCCATTGTCTGTCTGGCCTCCTGCGTTTGGTGTTCCAGTTGTTTGCTGATTTCCTCCATCTCCGCCGGGATGGATGACTGTTTCTTGGCGGTGTACAGAGTTGCTGCTTGCGTGGGTCTTTCTAATGAAACCAACTGTTGCTTCCATCTGGCTTCTTTGCCTGTCTGCCTTTCTTTGCTGTAAAAGGTCGCGTATGACTCGACGATGAATTCGATTCTGCTGGAAAGGGCTCTTTTCATATTTCTTCTCCCTCTTCTCCTGTCCTTCAACGCTGCTCTTCTCTTGTCTCCTTTGGATGTCTTCGTTGGCTTGTCAGCGTCTTGTCTGCATTCTGCCGCTTCTTGGGATCATCCACGTCCATATCAACATCCTCCTCTTCATGGCTCATTGCTCCGCCTTGTTGGGGAACTACCCTTTGAAGGGCCTTGTTTGTTTGAGCCCCCAACATCCAACTGCCACTGCTGTCTACACTGCTTTGCGCAAACATTGGCAGCGCCGCGCCGAGAACCAAACTTTGAACTCAATAGTTCCAACCGTTTCCAAGAAACACAGCGACGGGTTCTTCTGAGAAGTCGATGCGTGCACTCGCGCTAGCGAACGTGCTGGCGCAAACTCGCCCTCAAACGAGGTTGCCTTCACGTTAATCCTAAAGCTTGCGTTTTTTGTAGCTTTCAATGTGAGATCAGTGGTGAAATTTGTA